AACTGAGGAGCTGGGGATTTTCATGTAACTAAGCTAAAAGTAGTTAAGATTAACATTTAAAAACAGAAGTAGTTATAAAACAACTTTCCACTAAGCAGAACTTAGTTTTGGTGGCACTACAGTTTAGGATGGAATTCATCACTGGAGTTGAGATGGGCTGTAGATGTAAAATACAGATCAGATTTCAAAGAATCGACGGGGAAAACATTTTAAGAGTAGCGGCTTTATATTCGTTACTGGTTAAAATATACTGGATATGTCGGGTTACCCTGAATCTATTTTTAAGATTAACTTTATCTGCTTCTTTCAACTTTTAAATGTGGTTTCTAGACTATTCTGATTTCTCTGTGACTCCCCCTACTGCACAGTCCTGCTCTGACCCAGGCCCCCGATGCTGTGAGCAGCACCTTACCCCCTCCCCGCATGCACATCCGAAGGGGGCACCCGTCTCCTTCCGGGACTCGGACGGACACCCCACCAAGGGCAATCGTGAGTCACTCACTTGGTGCCATACGCGTTCGTCACCGCTGTAGTGTCAAGGAGCAGCCACGGTCTTCTTCCGGGCGTCCGCTCCGGGCCCCCAGCTAGGCCCCCCTCGCTTCCTAAACGGGCTTCAGCGGGATGCTCCTCGAACGTGTTTTCTGGCTGGAACTAATGTCTTTAGTGATCATATGCTTTTATCAGACGATTTTTGGTTACACGTTGCAATTCTACTTCCCTAATAGCCCTGAGAGACAGGAAATTTCGAAGTCCCTCATTTTACAGACCCGGAGCCCGAGGCACAGAGAAGCTGCCCGCTCAGGGCGCTGCTGGGGAGCCCAGATGCCAAATTCAAGGGCGGGCGGGCGTGCTGAGTGGCCCAGGCTCAGCCTCGCGTGCCCCACAATGGGCCTCCCTCACGCCAGCGCAGTTTATATAAAATACAGGGGGCAGGGGTTGTTGACTATGTGCTGGTTTTAGACCTTTCCTTGCAACGTAGGTGACCACGATCTCTCAGGCCACCTTCCACTTCTTCCTGGCCCCAGGCTAACTGCTGCAGACAGGCCCAGAAAAGGCCACAGCTCACAACACTTCCGCGGAGAGCTGCCCGCATGGGCCCTGTCAGAGCCTTGGCGCGAGGGAGGGCTGGAGGTTGGGTGCGGCGTGGGCAGGCTGCCTTCTCAGCCCCGAACCGGCCAGAGTCACCTCCCTCCTGGGGCCCGAGCTGGAGCGCCGAGACCAGGGGTTGGCCTGGCTGCCTTTCAAGGTCACAGCGCGGGGCCCTGGGCGCAGTGTGCCCAAGCCACAAATGGAACGAAGGTCCTCGACCTTTGGCTTCAGCTCTCTGGGTGCGCCCCCAGCTTCACCCCCTGTCTGCGCATAACGGGCGTGCACTCTGAGGAGGACATTCTTTATGGGGGTTGGAAAAGGACAGTGATGCGCGCGTTAGCACTTGTTGCCTTGGGCGTCCTGTATCCTCCCTTGCTAAATGGGTGTGAAAGAAAAGCTTTTTTTAGTGCAGGGAGGGCTCGTGTTCGACCCCACCTGTGGCCTGGAATTGCGCGCAGCTGTGTGTCACTGCACACGGAAGGGGGGACAGGACCGCGGCCACGGCAGGGGCCGTGCTGTCCCCCTGGCTCGCGGCGCCCGATGCCGGCGCAGGACGCACACTCCCCGGCGCGCTGCCCCGAAGCCAGGGACGCCCCTCGTCCGTGCACGCTGTGTTTCTGCCTGCCCCCAGACAGGGAGCTCGTGTAGAGACGCTCTGAAACCAAGCAGGTGGCGCGACTAGGGCTGAGAAGCAGAGCTGGGAAGGGCAGCCTGAGCCTTGTCCCTGGGCCGTGACGGTGCCCGGCCCCTGTCCCTTTCCTCAGCCGCCGGGGGAGAGGAGCAGCAAGGCAGCTCGGGTGGACGCCGCGCAGAGGAACGCTTACCCGCTCGTCCAAAGTGGCTCTTTGCGAGGAGTTGCCGTAAAGATAGGAGGGAACTGAGAAAAGTCAAGCCAAAAAGGGAGCTGGGCTTCAGAAGAGTATGACCCCCTGGAGCTCAGGGTTCCGGAAGACGAGGCCCATGGGCCTGTGACCGGCACAAACGCACCCTCCACCTCTGCACTCGTGCTGCAAGACCCCGCCAGGACTCTGAGGCCCTTGGTGGGGTCCCGCGTCCCTTCCTTGGCCACGGGACGACGGGCGCAGGCCTGAGCCCCCAGCGTGCAGCCATAGCAAGCGGTGGGCTAGGGTCTTAAAGCAGCCGTTAGGTTTCACGAGAGATGAAGCATTTTATGGACTCTTGACTGAACAGTGACTGTACTGTTCAAACCATCACTGACCTTTGCTTATGCCGTAACTACAGGAGTAGATGCTGCCACTACAGGCGCTGCAAGTGCCTGGAGTTCGTAATCCAGTTCATCCTTCCCTCCTGAGATGATCATGTTCTTCAAGAGCATGTTACACACACACGCACACACGCACGCGGCACTCTGTTAGCTTTTACTAAAGGGTCATTGTAACCATTTGCTATCTAACTAGATGGAGATATATATGAAAACAAAGTAAGTAGTAATTATGTCCCAAATAGTTAGCATACGATTATTTAATTCAAAGTCTGCCTTTGCTATTTCAAACATAAGCCAGCAATAAATCCCACGCCATCTATTTTAGTTATGGTAAATCATAGTCGTATGTGGTCGTGATTATGGCTAATTGTGGGATTAAAGGATTTAATTTTAGAGGATGAATGAAATATACTCTTGTTGACATTTATGCATGACAGTCTGGGACAATAAGGGGAGAGCTAACAGCTATGCGATATAACCCCCTACGGAAAGAATAATAAAGAACATTTAAATCAAGGATTCTCACTCATCATGACAGTTCTGATGATTCTAGAAGGCTGGGCTCTCCATATTTAGAATGTACCAGCTGCTTCAAATCAGGGAAACTGTGGACCCTTCTCAGGGTCCACATGAGTGAACATGAGTTCGCTGATGGGGGGGTGGGGGGGTGGGAGGGGGTGTTTGTGTGAATCCGTCTCTCCACTTCCGTGCAAACAAAAAAATCTAGAATGCCTCCCCTGCACTGTTAGCTTATAGAGCAGTATATTCCTTGGTAAGCTGCTCCTCCACACTAAAATCACCCTCTATGCTGAAGTATGAAACTTAAAATGTTCTTTAAAATAGAACATCAAGAGAATCTCTTTAGCCCGGGGTCTGAGATTGCTTATGGACTGCATGACAACACCAGGAACTTAAAAGGAACTAACTGGATATTTTTTAAACTTCTGCTTTCACTTCACAACAACTTCTTCCATTAAAATGAAGCAATTAGCACGTCAAAGCAAGTCCTCAAGCAATTAGCTTAAGACCCAAAGCTATTTCCCTCATCGGAAAGCTTTACTAAAAGGCAAAATATCTTTACATTATGCAGAGGAGCCAGAGTAAGCCCTCTGCTTCCTTAATGCATCTCCAGTATGAGGAACTCTCATATAGAGGTCGCCAAAACTTTTCACAGAATTCTGTAAAAAAAAAAAAAAAAATGAGCTGAAGGAAATTAAAAACGGTGCCATTTTTAATTGCACTGTGTGCAGTCCACTGTGGCTATTCCAGCTATTGCAATCTGTAAATATCTCACTGTTCACTCACTGCTTCTGGGCCACCTTTAGGGGCGATGTTGAGGCTTGGCTGGCTGGGATCTAAACCAGGCCCCAATCAGACACTCATACTGAATACTGCATGTTCATAGCTTTGTTTGAGAAAGATCTTTTTCCTCTGTTCCACCATGTTTTAAAATTAAATATTTTGAAATAATTGCAGATTCACACACAGTTGTAATAAACAATGTAGATCAGGTGTACCTTTTACCTACCTCCCCCCAGGGAAAATCTTGGCCCACTACAGTGTAATAGCAGACCCAGGATACTGACAAAATAAGCCAAAATACAGACCATTTCCCTTCCATGGGGATCTAGCACATTGGCACTCACAGTTCTGTTGACCCTAGTTTTGTCATTTCAAGAGTGTTCTATAAGTGGAAGTGTATGGGGTATCCTCTTTTGGGAGTTAATCTCTATAATACCATGTAAGTTGTTGTATGTAGCAACAGTATTTTTTGCTGCTGAGTAGTATTCCATTAGATGGCTATACCAGTTTGTTTAATTATTCAACTGTTGGAAAACATTTGAGGATTCCCACCAGTTTTGGGCTATTAAATAAGTATTCAGAGCAGCATTATTCACAACAGTAAAAAGGTAAAAACATCCCATATATACAGAAATAGACGAATGGCTAAGCAACATCTGGTATGTAGATATGGAATATTACTCAGCCTTAAAAAGAAATGAAATTCTAACACATGTCACAATATGGATGAACCTTGACGGCATTATGCTAAGTGAAATAAGCCATAAACAAAGGACTTGTATGATTCCTCTCATATGAAGTACCTAGGAAATGCAATTTCAAAAAGATAGAACATTAGCTAAAGTGCTGATGAAGCAAATTTTATGCAAAAAGGCTGTACATCCTTACTTCCCTCTCCTCCTCCTTTCTACTAATATTTATTTATTTATGCATGCATGCATGCATGCATGCATGCATGCAAACAAGCACTGGGTACAGTCAGAAGTGCAGGAGGGTAAGAGAATTCACCAGAGCCAGAGCGGGAGCAGAGCTAGCCCGGCGGCCGGGCATCGAACCGGCGCTGCAGAGGCTGCGGGCAGCTTCACAACCCAGCGCTCAACCACTGCGCCACCGGGGAGGCCCTCTACTAATATTTAATGAATACGTGGGAATAAATTTCGATAAAGTAGACAGTTCTTTGTGAAACAGGGAGAAGATCAGTAAATGAAATAGTCACAGATTGGAATGACCACCACTTCATATTGCTGAAGATATTCAAGATTTAAGATTTAAGATTCAGGCTTTAAATAGGATGGGGCAATGCCTTCATTTCTATACTTGCCTTTCATGATTTTAAACTAAGTAATGGATAAAATAGAATATTTTATATATAATAACATGTTACCAAGAAAGCATAGTAATTTCATTATCAGTTCAGGTCACCTGGTTTTGTTCCTGATTCAGGCCACTCCCTCCTAGATCCACAGGGCACAATTTGACTTTGCTCTGCGTCCATCCGCTTTTTCCATAGAGGCTGACCTTCTGATAATCCTGGAGTCAATCCATTCTAATTTTTGAGCACTCCTGTGCCACATGTGTAAATGAAGAGCGGATTCTTTCCCCAAGATTGCTCTCCCGGTCGGGCGGCACTTTGAGGCAGGGGCTAGAGTCCTGGTCTGTGTCCAATCCTTGCTTGCTTGTGTTACTTGTTCTCTATGAATGTGGAGATAATAATGTTTACTACTTACTGTTGTCACAGGGATAGAATGAGACCATGTATATCAGTTTATTGAAAAACCAGTAGAGTGCTGTGTTAGTGCCGGTCTGGAGCACCCTGAAATACCTACATGTCTCCAAGGGGTCCCACAATAGCCACTAGCTCTCACTGGTAGCACCACTGAAAATGGCCCCAACACCTGCCCATATATTTGCCTGTACACCTAGAATCTGTTCATCCTGTTGGTGAAGAAACACATGTTGTGTGCACACTAGTTTACAAAGAAAGCAGCATGTATACCTCATGTCATCACAGAACATCATGCAGAATAGAAACATCAGAATATGTGTCTCCAAAAAGGAAAATACCAAAAGCTCACAGAATTATTAGATGCTATGCTTTGGGTACGAGATATCTAGTGTAATGCTGAATGAAAGTCAAATTACCAGCTTCCATTAGCTTCACTTTGTGCTAGACAGCTACAATATGTGATACAGTGACCACAGCATGCAGAAAAGTTAGTTAAGAAGTTTAACTAAGGTTAAAATATTTGAGCCTAAGCATCAGAACTTAATTTTTTATAACATCTGGCTTGTTACAGCAAGCATACACCCATGTCTATGTACGTAGGTCTGTATCTCTCTTTAACGCTATAGGTGTGTAAGTAGCAGCCACATAACCATGGTTTGTCTTGGAATCGTAATACTGGCCTTGGAACGTGCAGAGTTTCAAATCTCGTGGACAGTGAAACAAAGGAAACACGGGTAGCCGTTACAGTGGTTTGTCAACATTACAACTTGCAGCGTGCTGAGAGCATTCTCGACAGAGGCGTCTCTGTAACGCAGGGGATGCAGCAGCAACTGCAAATGCCTCCCCCCCCAACAAAATCCCACGTGTGGGTCTGGGCATAAGGGCTTTCGGGCTTACGGTAGCAAAGCAGAGTGGTGGCCTCATGAATCGTCCCCTCATGCACGTCCGCGGCGAACCGTGGAGGCCCTACGAGCCAGCACCCGGAGGCCGTGAGGGAAGAGCACAGGCAGGTGCGCTGTGGGTGCAGGGAGGCCGGGCCACTCCGCCTCTGCCGAGCTGGTCACACGCGTGCAGGGCCCCGGGTCTGACAGCAGCACTGCCCGCGGTGACCTGGGCTCCGGCGAGGCTGAGCCATGAGCATGTGATTTCCAGGAAGTGGCTTAGTTATGCACGCACGAGGACGCCTCACTGGTGGATTTCTCCAGTTACTAAATCTCGGTGGTAGTTAAAATCCAAGATAGTTTGTGACTTTGCCCAGGATACAGGATGCTTCCTCCACTTTTCCTGTCCTTGAAAAAATGGTATTAAGTATTCTGATTAGAGCTCAAGGCATAGGTAAGATGTGCGTTTTAGAGCCAGATGAACATACCTTCAAAGGCCGACTAACCTGTGTGGGCTATGTGTTTGGTTTTTGAACAACAGACAACAATATGCACCCCGTGGGGTGGTTCTCCGTGTTAAATGAGAGAACAGATGCAAATCTGCTGAGGCATGCATTCCTGGCATCTTTTAGCTGGCCACACCCCCTCATCCTCCAAAACCACATCTCTCCATCCGGAGTTTATAGACCCTAAAATTAATACCTCGGAGTGTTTTATCGAAAATTCTTGCTCATTCATAGAAAAAGAAGGGAATAACTACTGACTTACGGGCACCAATAGGAAAAGTCTACAGGTACTTTAAGCGTATGATCCTAATCCTCAAATGAGCAAATATCCCGTCTGGCAGCTACTATTGTAAACACTAGGCAGGTGCTTTTCCTAATAACCAGGAGGAGAAAAGTCCTCCCTTCCTTCCATTGGCTTCACGCGAACGCCAGCGCCTGACGAACACGTGCCTTCTCCTCCCTGCAGACGAGCACTGTTTTGCTTTGCATGCAATAAGCAATCAAGAGTCATCTGCTTTGTCCCGTTGAGGACTTTCACTGGTAAACTGAGAAAGATGACAACACAGAGTCGGCCTCCCTCATCCAGGGCTGAGCCACAAGCTCCAGGTAGCGAGGACCGTCTAGGTAGAAGTGACTACTCTTTAAAAAAAAAAAGATTTATTTATACAAGCACTGGGTACAGTCGGAAGCGCGGGAGGGTGAGAGAATTCACCAGAGCCAGAGCGGGGAGCAGAGCAGGCAGAAGGACCGAAGTACACCGCTGAGGGGAGCAGCGGGTGGCAGGAGAGGTCTGCGCGCCATGCGGGACCCTCCTCCGGTGGCCGGGGAGCAGCCGGGGATCGAACCAGTGCCGCAGAGGCTGCGGGTAGTTTCGCAACCCAGCGCGCAACCGCTGCGCCACCGGGGAGGCCCAGAAGTAACTACTCTTACACGCGTACGTCTGGCTTGTTCACGGTGGCAAAGACAGGAAGATTGGGAAGCAGAGAGGGGGACTGAGAAGGGTCTCAGTGCTCACACCCGAGCACTGAGACCTGTCTCAGTGCTCCGGTGTGAGAAATGACTAGCGCTTTCTCCTTGGAGTTCCTTGGAGTGAGCGCTATGCGGGACCCTCCTCCGGTGGCCGGGGAGCAGCCGGATCGAACCTGCGCCGCGGAGGCTGCAGCGCAGCTTCACAACCCAGCGCTCAACCGCTGTGCCAGCGGGGAGGCCCAGAGTTAACTCCTCTTACACGCGTACTTCTGGCTTGTTCACGGAGGCAAAGCCAGGAAGGCTGGGAAGCGGAGGGAGGGAGGAGGACGGAGGCAGGTCTCAGTGCTCAGGTGTGAGAAATCACTAGCGCTTTCTCCTTGGAGTGAGCGGACTGCGTTTCAGCTCGCGAGCCACACTGCGGATGGGTTCCCAGCCTGAGGCCCTCCTCGCTCCTCAGACCCCCTTCGCGCACATCACACACAGGGGGTGCCCTGGTATAGGGCACTCAGAGCACCCAAGGAAGTGTCTGGTTGCTCCATCTGGATTATTTTCAGGGGTGGAAACGAAAATAATGAGGATCCTAACTGGGCCACCCACTGCAAAGTGAGGGTGACCAAGTGAGCCAACAGAACCTCTAATGAGTGTTTACTCCAAAGACTGCATGTAAACTACTTCCAGACTGATGTGGTGCCAGGCGTAGGGGAGCAGCCCTTGCAGTGTTCTCTGTTGGTCAGCTGCCAAGGCATCTAGGAACAAGGGAGGGGTCTCCTTATTAAACATATCAAGAATATTACTTTCAGACAAGAAGAATGCAAAGAATTGATCAAAGAAAGCTATAAAATAGATGGAAGGCTCTGGAAATAAGTAATAACAGTGTCATTCATGTTGTGCACTGGGGAGCTCTTGCTTCATTAAGGCATTCTTTTTATCCAGAGGGCCTGAAAGCATCTCTAACATGAATGTGTCTGGCCTGCATCGCAGGTGCTCGGTGATCTTGGGCGGCAACCTCTGCCCTGTCCCCAAAGTACCGTTAACCTTCAAGTCCTAAGCAGAGCACAAATATTTTGTTGATTACTTTTGAAACACGTGCCGTTGACTTTTGCTGTCTAGATGATCCACACAACAGCCATAGTATAAGGAGGAACATAACCTGGTTTCCTTTTAAGAGAAAGAAATCTGTGCTGTGGAGACAGCTCGTGTCTGCAGGGAGGCTCCCTCCGTGCCGCTTGGAGGCAGCGTCTGTGTTTATCCTGACTAGAGGCCTTGCGCATCTATCTCAGACTAATCAGATCCCCCAGAGGCGGCCAGTGCCAGAGCACATTTACAAGTTACATTCTGTGTGCGTTTACCCCAAGAAAACCTGACACAACAAGAAAAGGCTCACACGCTGTGATGAACGTCAGTGCCAGGACAGGGGCTAACGAAGATGCCACCCACACAGATGTTGACTTCTAAATCGCACCACTGAGCGAAGCGACCCAACCCGCACAGCCTGGCAGCCTGTGGGTGCAGAAGGCCTTGTGCAGCGACGGCCTTCGTTAACTAGACCTCCCCAGCCGTAGAAATGAGGCTGGACCTCAGCTGAGGTTCCACGAAAGCAAGAGACTGCAGCGCAACACGGGACAGGTGTGCCATGGGACAAATGTCTCATCATGGCGACGATGCTGGTAACAGTAGTGACTCAGGGAGCTAGAAGGGGCCTGGGAGAGGAGCTGCAGGAGACACACAGAGCAGACATGTCAGGAAATAGGCGCATTTGCTTCTGAGCTTTGGGCTTACCCCAGGGACTTCAGGACGTGCAGGGAGACACGTGGAGTCAGACATGTAGAGGCGCCTGCGAGATGTGGGTGGGAGAGCTCTATGGGGGGGCTGGCAAAGGTAGCTGTTACCTTGATTTGTACGTTGCTTTTGCTTCTTTCCTTCCAGAAGGGGCCCCTGCTGCCCCTTTCCTAGGGGCAGGGTCCCTGCCAGAAGGGGCACAGATTTGTGGCAAGCTTTTGGGCCGACCCTGTTTGGCTGGGCATTTACCCACGGGGCAAAGGGTAACCATGTGTGCTTCATTTGGAAACTATATTCCGCCTCCCCTCCCGACTGCACGTGAATCCTATTAAAGTTCTTTTCTATTGAAGGTCTTAGGCCCTAAGAGAGTGCTTTGTTTTCATGTGGCCAAGAGCATAACCCATTTAGAGCAGGCAAGTTTGGGGGTCTCAGGGTGCCCCTCAGTGGCTCTGCTAATGGAGAGAGCATCTGGAAGTGCCCTGGCTGGCTGGCATGCGCTGGGGAGAGTGGCCCGCGCTGGAGCCGACAGGTCCGAGCAAAGGCAGGGGAAGGGAGGCCCAGCTTCAGTCTCAGCAAAGACCATGAAACTGCTCGTTAGGGTGATTCGCTCCTCAGTGAAGACAGAAAAAAGCGAACACCAGTCTCCTCCAGGAACCTGGAGTCAACCCAATTTCAGAGAGGAAGTGGGCTTGCTTTTAGGTCAAATGCTAAGATGTCATCGTGCGCGCTTCTCGCTTACTCTGGGGAGTGCCTTGGGTGCTGGTTATGCTTCTGTGAAACCGGAGTTGGCAGCGTGGGAAGGGGAGGAAGAAGAGGACCACTTGCGTGACT